CACACACACACACAGACTGTACCTGCTGGCAGTGCCCAGGGCTGTGCCCCTCTCTCACACACACACAGACTGTACCTGCAGGCAGTGCCCAGGGCTGTGCCCCTCTCACACACACACACACACACACACAACACACACACACACACAGACTGTACCTGCTGGCAGTGCCCAGGGCTGTGCCCCTCTCTCTCTCTCACACACACACACACAGTCTGTACCTGCTGGTGGTGCCCAGGGCTGTGCCCCTCTCTCTCTCACACACACACACACATACACAGACTGTACCTGCTGGCAGTGCCCAAGGCTGTGCCCCTCTCTCTCACACACACACACACACACACACACACACACACACACACACAGTCTGTACCTGCTGGCGGTGCCCAGGGCTGTGATCCAGGCCTGGAAGATGCCACTGTAGAAGGTGAAGGGGTTCTTGCGGGTGACGGTGAAGAAGATGAGGGGCAGCACGATGCCCCCGTGGATCACCAGCCCCACCATCACCGTCACCATGTACATCCCCAGCTGGCGGGCCATCACCTCCAGGTCCCGGATGGCCGCGATCTTCCCGCAGATGAGCGAGGCGATGCCCAGAGGGGAGTACCTGCCGGGCGGGCGGGGAGTGAGTGGAGTCCCGATCGGACGTCACCCGCTGGGGCGGGACACCTGTCGTCCCCTCCCCCTGTGGGTCCCTGAGACCCATCGATTCGGGCCAAGGAGCCGGACAGGCTTGGCGGACACGGGCCGGACTAGGCCGTGAAGTCCGCCATCTTTACAGCACCGATGCGGATGTCTCACTGTGGGCCTTCCTGTCCGGCAGTGCCCGGGCCGTCCAGGGGGAGCTCGTGGTGATGTGACAGAACGGAAGACAGGATGAGGGGGAGGAAGAGGAGGATCGCCCGGCGCCACGAGGGAAATACCTCCTTCCTACAGATCAGGAGGCCGGGAATCAGATCCGGTCTTTTGAGCGCTGTTAAGAGAGGGACTCGTCGTCTTGTACTGTGGGCCGATACAGACTCCCGGATGAGATATTTCCCAAAATGACCTTGTCGCTCGGTGATGAAATGCTTTGGACCTGGGAGCGTGACTTTGTTCTCTTAAGGGGCCTTGAGTTTTCATTCTCAGGTAGAATCCTGCGCTTGGCAGGTCAGCGGAAGGCAGGTATTGTATATAATACTGTGGCTGTGAAACACTGGGGGTTGTAATAAACGTGTCAGCGCTGTTACGTTCGGCACGTGGGAAGTACTGTATCATCCACAAGAGCCCTGGCTGTTTCCGGCCTAGTCCTGTAGTCACACGGACGGACAGGTGGACACAGAAGGAGCACTCGCCCGGCTCTCGCCCCGCCCCCCCCCCCTCACTGACCACATGATCATGGTGACCATTTTCATGATGATCTCGTTGAGGACGTTGAAGAAGACCGACATCGGCTTGGCGCGCTCTCCCATCTTCCCCATGCAGACCCCGAACGCGATGAAGAAGCCGATCAGACCTGAGGAGGGCAGAGAGGACAGGGGGGCGGGGCATTGGTGCCGGCACGCTGGGGCTGTCCGCTACGGCGCGCACGGGCGGGGGTCCGACTCCAGGGGGAGTGCCGGCTCGTGGGGGGGTGTTACTCTCAGGGCTTCTGAATGGGATTGCACCCCCAAAATCCTTGGCACTGCCCCCCAAAGAATTACTTTGAAATTGCTTTTGAATTCTTAAGAAGTAAAAATACACTATATTACCATACTATATTCTTAAATCTGCAGTGCACAGTGTTATCGGTTTTTTGTAGTGCAAAGCCTTTAATAATCCGTTAATCATTCTACAAAGAGAAACAACGCCGTCTTTCTCTGACGCAAAGGAACGAGTAAAGGTTTATTCCATGCTGAGGTCACACCCGGAGAAGCTCCACAGCCACAAAGTTGTGTCTCTTTCCTATTCTTTTCAACTTGGAATAAGCATTTACCTCTTCCTTTGCAGCCTACGCATGCTGACCCAGCTGAACAACTAATCCGATTGAATGTACTGGAGTGGAGCCACATTATCTGTAACTACAGAGGGACAGCGAGTCCCAGGCTTCCTTTCA